GACGAATATCTAAAAAAAAATTACGTTATAAAACTCATATCACTACGTGACTCATATTAGTTACCTTAATTTTTTCTGCTTATTTACTTTCCAGTTTTCAGGCTCTCTAGAACGTTTTCTACAATTAGTTGGTGGTAATTTAACAGCTTGTTGTTCCATTATTATTTGTGATAATTTATTATACAAATATAAATTGACAAAACCAAACACCGTTTGTTTTAGTTATTTAAATAACTAAAAAGTATGGTTATAAAATAACATAATGTGAATCACAGCGAGCCGTCTGATTGGCTAAGAGGGAGATTGCCATGTTTGAAAGTAATATTCATATTTTATGTCCGTTTTTGAAACTGAATGATATTTTGTTTATGTAATTACACTTATTTATAGTCGACTATGATAATGACAGAAATGTTTTTCTGAAAGGACTTAAGTTAACCTGTACATTCCGTAATTTAACTCAGTTTGACAAAAAAATGGAGATTGCCGCCTTTGATAATAGACGACTCAATTGTAAACATCTGTTGTAATCTGGCAACTACTGATTTGACGATTGCCTAATCTATCAAAGGGTAATTGCCAAAAAAATTTCTAATAATTAACTGCAATTAATCTCCAAAGAAGCAAATATTTACTCATTTTTGTTTTATATAAATCAAAAATTGCAGAATTTATAACATATTATAAACAAAATGTACTTTTCTAAAGCTTTATCTTTTTATATCTGAAGCATACAGCATCTACATTGTAAAAGCATGTCAACACTGCTATACCGAAATTTTTTGTTCCATGTTTGAGATTTTCGGCTATAATCAGCTTATACTTTCGGTAAACTCGACCGCAAACTCTATTTAAAGAACGTAAAATAAAACAGAGAATATCATACATACATTTAATTATTTTTATCTACAAATTAACTGCGAAATGGTTAGTGAAATACAACCCACAATCACACAAAAGATTAAAGTCTTAGAAATTAAACAATAGCTCAAACATCGCAGTTGGCCAACAAATTGAACGTCAGGTGCACAGAAAATTTCAATGGATGCAATTATAATTGTGAGTTGTACTCAATAATAGTGATAAGTCGTCCATTAATAATGAATCAGTAAAAATATTAATACAAATTTACAATCTTTAAGCAAAAAATACAAAAAAAATCTTTAAGCAAAAGTAAAATGTTCTCAATGGCTAAAAACCAAACGTGGGATTGACGATGGCGGTAGAGGGGTGCTACACATATCTGAGGCACGACTGTCTTCTCAGCAGGCCAGGAATAAAGTGCAAAGTATCTGGATTGTCGGTCAAAAAATGAAGACAAAAAAGGATACTAGCTATTTCATCCTTTATTGAAGACATTTCGTATATAAATCCATACGCGTTATCAGTTCATCCAAAATCAGTTAAATGAGCTTACACCCCTAGAGCAAATTGCAAATAATTACTCACAAAGATACGCAGCTCTAAAAAGATGAAAGTAAAGGAAAAGTTTAACTCGGAACCATAAAAATTAAATGTTCAGTTTGTTTTAAGAAAAAAAGAGCTGTCATTTTTTCTATACAAAAAAAGAAGTATATAAAAAGTTGTGTAAATTAACAGAATACTTTCTAATATGGAGGGCAAACAAAATTCCAAAAGCACTGATATTGTTTTTTAAATAATCGTTAATACATTTTAAATTTCACTTAATGGTACCTGTGTATTTTTCTGTGTTTGAAAAAACCATTCCAGATAGTCAGTTGGTTCTACTAAGATGTATGAATTGGTCTGTGCCTGGTGATTGTCATTTGATTTGTATGTATTCTTGTCGTACCAATTCTTCCTATTCCTTCAGCTGAATGTTCGAAGAAAGTACCTCTGTTATGTACCAATTCATCATCATTTACTCCGCATATTTCCACTAAACTAACTCGTCTACGGTTATGTTTGTCCAGTCTCGAATATTTCGCCGCCATGACTTCCTCTTTCTACCTATTCCCTTTTTGCCTTCGACTCTACCCTGCATGATGACCTGCAGAAGACTATATTTATCATTCCTCAGTATGTGTCCAAGGTATGCAGTCTTGCGTACTTTTATTGTTCTCAACAATTTTTTGTCTTCTCAGTACTTCCTCATTCGTGACCCTGGCAGTCCATGGAATTCTCAACATTTCCCGATGTATCCAAAGTTTAAAGGCTTCAAGCTTCTTTATTTGCGTTTTTAACGTCCATGTTTCTACCCCGTACAATAGTTGGGACCAGACGTAACATTCAACAAACCTCAGTCTTAGCGCAGTATACCTACATAGAGGCAGGTTACCAAAGAAAACTGAAGACGTCTGTGGCATTCATCGATTTATCGGCTGCCTATGACACAGTTTGGAAAGATGGCCTCATATATAAGCTCCTTAAAATAATCCCCTGCAAAGCAACCGCCCAACTCATAAATACTATGCTGAGCAGTAGAAACATCCGTGTAATCATGGAAACTACAGTGAGCAAACAGAGAACGCTTAATAATGGCCTCCCCCAGGGCTCCGTACTTGCACCGCTGCTATTTAGTATGTATATAGCTGATATGCCCCCTACCAGATCTAAAAAATTTGGATATGCAGACGACCGGGCACTTGCAACTCAAAGCTCCTTAATACAAAACTCTGAGGCAATCCTAACGGAAGATCTGGAACGCCTGGTTAAGTACTTTAAACAATGGAGACTTAAACCTAACCCCAAAAAAAACCGAGATTAGCTGTTTTCACCTGAACAACAAAATGGCCCACACAAAACTTAAAGTATACATTGATAACCAACTGCTCACGCACAACTATAATCCCGAGTACCTCGGCGTCACCCTGGACAGAACACTCTCCTTTAAGAAACATCTTGAGAACACCGCAGCAAAGCTGAGAACCCGTAACAACATCATACAGAAGCTTTGCGGGACTACATGGGGCTCATCAGCAGGTACACTTCGGTGTTCAGCCCTTGGACTCGTATACTCCACAGCTGAATACTGCTCTCCTGTTTGGCTGAATAGCGTTCACACAAAAATTATAGATACCCAGCTCAATGTCGCCATGCGTCTCATATCTGGAACGATCAAGACTACACCTGTGGAGTGGCTTCCACTACTGAGCCATATACCTCCACCTAATCTTCGTCGTCAGCATGCTCTGCTTAGAAAATTCCAAAAGCTGCTTAACAAGCCGCAATTACCTATACACACATATGTCGCCGACGCTAATTCACATCGATTGCGCTCCAGAAAACCTCCGACTAGAGATGCAATAAACTTGAGTTCCCACAATTTCCAAATGAACTCCCAGTGGAAGAACATGCAGAGAGAATAATGAGAAAGACACCATGCATCACAGAAACTCCACCAGGTTTTGAAGTCCCCCGAAAATCATGGTCAACTCTTAACAGGATAAGAACGGGTCATGGAGTCTGCGCAGATTCCCTTTATAAATGGAGGATGAGAACCTCTGCTGAGTGCGACTGCGGCGCCTAGAAACAGACCATCCAGCATATGATTGCTTATGAAGTATTATGGAGATCCTCTAGACTTCGCCTCTGCAACACCAGCGTCGATTGAATATATTAATACATTAGATGTTAGATTGTAACATATATGTGATAATGTTGTATATCAAATTGCCATACGCTAAATAAAAGCGCAGTATTCAAATTTTTATCACAGAACAATTGCTTGAATTTTAAGAACGCTGCCCTTGCCATTTCTATTCGTACCCTGATCTCTTGATTCGTGTCATCTGCAAATCTCATGGTGTTTAAGATTTCTACACCAATTCTTATTTCTTCTTTTCTTTCCCATAAGGCTTTTCTGAATATGACCTGTGAGTACATGTTGAAAAGCGTCGGAAACAAGACGCATTCTTGTCTGGTCCCTCTCGCAATCGGTATATTACTTGTCTCTATATCGTTCACCTTTACTACTGCTTTCTGGTCCCAGTACATAGCCTTAATATAAAGTCAATGTCTTTTTGTCTAAATTGATGTTTTTTAATTCATCTATTAACTTTATATGTTGCACTCGGTCAAAGGCCTACCTAAAGTCTATGAAGCATATATATGCACTCTTGTTATATTTCCGACATTTCTGCAAGAGTACCGTCAACTCAAATAATGCCTCTCTTGTACCCATGCCTCCTCAGAAGCCAAACTGCGTTTGATCTATCTGCTCCTCACATTTCGTATAAATTCGGTTTTGAACAATTTTCCAGAGAATCTTTAAAGGGTGGTACATTAGGCTTATCAATCTATAGTCATTACATGATTTGGGATTGTTATTTTTTGGTAGAGGTAAAAATATCGATTTAATTCATTCCTCCAGGATGTTGCCCTCTACATATATGTGGTTGAAAATTCGGGTGAGTTTCTTTATATTACCGTCATCTAATAATATCTTATATTCTTCACCTATATATTGTTCATTTTCCCTCTAGTCATAGAACAGATGGATTATATATTGTTCCCATACTTCCTTTATTTTGCTCTCTTCAGTAAGTATTCCTCCATCTCCATTCTTCCAATCATTTCATGCGCAGTTAGAACTGAAAACAAATCAAACAAACAAAAGTAGAAACATTTGGCGAAGGATTCTAGAGCATAAAGAAAGTAGATTAGCACTGGAAGTAGGTAAACCTAACACTTTTAACAGATACAAGAATGTGCTCGGCAAACTTTATATTTTACATCGTTTTCCTTCTCATTTTTCTTTTTTTAACCATCATCTATTTCTGCTCCATTTTCGATTTTCAGTTTTCTATGCTCACAAAAGAAATCACACTATTAAATATTTTAACGATAATAATTATATTTATATTGACCTACAACTTTCGCTAACTCCAGCTACACAGACTTTTACAAAATGCAAATTATTCTAGTGAAACTTTCTCATCCTCGTAACTAAGTGGAATTGACTTTTACCTCAGTATACTCGTCGTTATCTTTTTTATCAATATTACCTTCTAGTCGGTAAGTTCTCCATACCTATAGAATAGTCATTGGCTTAGTTTCGTGTATTTACCATACTTGTTTGGATTCTTTTGACTAAAATTAAAACACAATAAAGGGATTTTAGCGGTAGCCAGTCAACAGTGAATTTCGACCTTTTTACAGCTATTAGCATAGTTTCGTTAATTGAACCACGTAAGTTTTTGTATTTTAAGTAACAATTTTAAATAATGTATTTAAATGAGGAGATAATAAATAAATTCACCAGAAATTCAATTTATATATAAACACTCCAAGTAATCCATTTATATATTTTTATTCTTCCTCTCTTATTAATATGACTTTTATGGTATAATGCCGGTCAATTCTTATACAATTTATCAATGTTTATCAAACTTCTGCTATTAATTTTAATGTTCTCAATGTTTTCTTTTATTCTTCCATTTGATTTTTTTAAATTTAAATAGGTTCTCATTGATCATATTCTCCTTTTATGTATTTATCAACGTTCTTATTGACTTTTTACAATGTTCTACGACGTATTTACTTACCCAGTCGCCATCTATGTCTATCTATCCATGCTTTTTCATCCAAATTGCTGTCTCTAATTTTCTTGTCAACGCTTTCTCTCCAGTTTATTTTTGGTTTCCACGTTTTCTGCCTCCCAGCGGTACCCAATTTAACAGTTGCTTTGGTAGTCTATCTTTTATCATCCTTTGTAGTGGCAGCCGCAGCTCAGTGGCTATGTTACTGGCTTAAAAAGCTGGAGAGCCCGGGTTCGTATCCCGGCACTGACAAAATTTGCAATTTCTAATTTAACTGAGCTGCCACCGTGCTTCGGAGGGCACGTCATGTTAGGGGCATTTGCGCGACCTGAAAAGCCTAACACTAGACCTTAGCCAGAAGGTTACACGAACTTTACTTTACTTTATCATCCTTTGTACATGCTCATATAATTCAAGTGTTTTGTCCTAATGCCGTCTACATGTGCTGTCTACAAGTGTTTGACTTTCTTCCATTATTTTGCTGATCCCATCATTTGATGTTCGTTGTCTCCTGGACTTTCTTGCACCAAATTTCTATTTCTATGGCTTTTAGCATCTAATCTGTTCTAGTCTTTATTTGCAAGACCACTGCCATAAGTTAGAATGCTCCGAATTATCTTTTTCTTCTTCTTCTTCCTCTTTATAAGCAATTCTGCTTGTTCATTGGCAGAATAATACCTCCATGAAAGGTTGTCACTCCATCTCAGTGTTAATGTGTCTGTTTCGCCACATAGTGTTTTTAAGGTCTCGCTTCCAGTCTATTTGCTTTTTGTACTTGATCTCTCACTTCTTTGTCCACGTCTCCATAGCTAGACAGTGTAATTCCCAGGTATTTTATTTCCATTACTTGTTCAATACTGATGTTCAATTTCTATTTTACATCTGATTGGTTCTTTGCTGACTAGTATTGTTTTAGGTTTCTATAGATGAGATGAGATGAGATTGTCATATTAAATTCTTTTGCCCTATGTTAAATCTGTGGACCAGTCTTTGCAGACTATCTTCATCTTGGGCTATCAATACTGCCATCGTCTGCGAACACAGTAACACGGTTACTAAACAGAAATTTTCCCCAACATACTGACACTTGGAGTAGAATTGTATTGTCTGTATTTAGCTAATTTAAAATAATACAATAACACGTGATAACTATTAATTTCAACATTTCACCTTGCATTATTCATTATAGACCCTACATGATATAGTTCGTTGAAATCAGGTTGTTAAAAATCTTTTAAAACAGAAATATACAGGGTGTTTCATTAAAAATAAGGATTATGGACTATGCCAGACTTGTGTGGATCAGTCTGAACATTTAAATTTATGTTTAGAAAGCGCACATATAACACGTTCAGCCCCGGGTGGCATCATTATGATGCCTCACTAAATAGTACTTTTGGGACAGTGAGGCATCACTGTAATGCCACACTAAAGTTTTGTATTCAGGACACCGTGGCATCAACTGTGCCCCCACAGCTATATAAATTACATTGTAAGTTGGACAGGGTGGTCCAAGGAGCAAAATAATATTTCTTGATCGGATGTGAGGCGGTTTTTACGAAAGATATGGAAATTATAAAACTTTATGAAACAAACAAAAGATTTTATTCAGAATGTACAAAAATAATTGTAATAATATAAGAGCTTATTATTTTAAAACAGCATTATGTGTTGAAAAAAAAACAAGAAATACAATAATGTTTTTTGCATTGGTTGCACAAAAATTTAGAACGAGAACACTTGTTTTGAGCTTCCTTCCGCCCAAATTCATTCTTCATTCTGACGTAGCAAACTACACATCTGTTTTTTCTTCCTTCTACAAGCTCATGACTGACATCGGTGTTATCATTGATATTAGTTTCAATAGCGGACATTTCACCCAATAGTTCTACAGCGACTTCTGTTTTTGAACTCTCTTATAGTCAATTTAGTTTGTGTAACCTGTGTATATACAATATGAGCATTCACCAAGGCACTACCAAACAATAATTCTGTGGCCAATTTCTTGTACCATTTATTCTCTCGTCTCAAGCAATTTGAACATGCTTTTTTCTGATCTGAGAGATCAATAAAGGATTTTGAATCATTGGAATCAACAATCATTTTCTTCTTCTTCTACGGCACTACAGCCCAAAATGAGCCTTGGCCTCCTTTATTTTTTGCCTCCACCCTTGTCTGTCTGTGGCTGCTCTTCTCCATACACGGACTCCTAAAAGTGCTTGTGCGTCGCTGCTTACTGTGTCTTCCAGCGCTTTCTTGGCTTTCCAACTGGTCTCTTTCCCTGCATTCTGGCGTTCAGTGCTCGTTTTGGTAGCCTATCCTCTCCCATTCGTATCACATGTCCGGCCCATTGCAATCTTTGTATTCTAATGAAGTTTGACAGGGATGTTTCCTTATACAGTTGATAGAGCTCGTTGTTATATCGAATTCTGAAGATTCCGTTTTCCCTCACAGGTCCTAGTATTCTCCTCAGTACTTTTCTTTCGAATGTGTCGAGTTTGTTTTTGGATGTTTCTTTCAGGATCCATGCTTCGCTGCCATAACATGCTATTGGCCGAATTAAAGTTTTATATATTCTCATCTTTGTATTTCGGTGGACACTTTTAGACCGAAATATATGGGAGAGGGCAAAATAAGCTTTGTTTGCCTGCGTTATCCTTTTTCGTATTTCTCCATCCTCTGCTCCATCGGCATATATTTCTACTCCCAGGTATGTAAACTTTCCAACCGTTTCAATGTCATCTTCATGTATAATGTTTTGTGGGATTATATTTCTTCTCGTCTGTACCATTATTTTTGTTTTTTCTGTGTTAATTTCCAGACCTAGCCTTTTCGTTTGTGTTTTTAACTCTGCGTATGCTTCCTGTGCTCCTGTTGATGTTCTACTCTAATATTAATATCATCGGCGTAGGCAGCCAGTTGAACCGTTTTATTGGTCAGTAGGTTTTCTCGTCCAGTTTGCATTTGCCTGACCGCATACTCCAGTGCCAGGTTAAACAATGTTGGTGCCAGCCCATCTCCCTGCTTTAGTCCCTGCGAGATTTTGAAAAAGTCTGTCCGGTTGTTTTGTATTCGTACACATGCCTGAGTTTCATCCATTGTGGTTTTAATGAGTCTAATTAGCTTATGTGGTATTGCTAATTCTGCCAATATATAGTATAGTCTGTCCCTTTTGACTGAATCGTATGCCTGTTTGAAGTCTACAAACATGTTGTGAACATCAATGTCGTGTTCCCACGATTTGCTCAAGACCTGCTTGACTGTAAATATTTGATCCAACAATCATTTTGGTATTTTCAATTTCTTTACCTTTGTGTAGACGTTTCAACATTTGATCCCATGCTTTGTACTTATCATCAAGACATCCCTTTTGTCACACCATTTTGACATTACAACTCCCGAATTACTTTGTAGGGCAATTTTTTCATTAGTTTTTTCTTGACAACCTCGGGACAATTCATTTTTGTGTTTGACCGAATAGTACCTACAAGGTGAGTTGTACGGCTGAGCAGTGCATGAGTAAGGGTGACACCCCTTTAATAATTATCTGTGAAGAAAGTACGACCACTATCCAATAACTCTTCCATAAGTGATAGAACAGCAGATAAAGAGGCATTTCGACCACCCTGACTCTCTTTTCCACAATAAATTTTGAGGTCATAAGTGTAGTCGTTTTCTAAGCAAAGCTTATATAATTTGATACCAAATTTGTGTTTATTATTTTTTATATATTGCTTGAATTTCAAGCGACCACGATAAGATACCATCGTCTCGTCAATACAGACATTTTCTCCTGGAGTAACAATTTGCTGAAATCTAGAAATCAGTTTTTGAACCAACGGAGATATTTTATAAAGCCGATCAAAATCCGGTGAGTTTGGTTTTGGCGCTGTTTCATTATTGTTGAAGTAAATATTTGAAAGTAATTGCTCAAAACGATTTCTAGATATTTTGTGTCATATTGGTAACAAATAAGTAATTTCTGCTCCAATAGTCACGTAATCGTGGTGCTTTTAACAATCCCATCCATATAGTTACTCCAAAGAATATTTCCATTTCTTTTCTTGTAGTTGGTATCCAAACGTTTAGATTTGGCTACAATAGGTCGACCATTTATCTGTTGATCTGCGTATAAATTCGTTTGATCAACTATATAATCGATCAAGTCATCAGTCACAAATAGTTTATAAAAGAAATAAGGAGTTTCTGTATAATTGTTGTAATATTCCAGTCTTACCCCAGTATTCTGAATAGTCTGCGGAAAATTTTTCAATTTAGCTCTATAATAAATCTGAACTCTCCACTTCATCTTCTTCTGCGACAACAGCAAATGCAGAAATTACAGTTTCTATTGTCTATTGTATCAGGTCCTCCTAAACAGAAATTAAGTATGAATTTACTGAATGAACATAAAAGTTTAGTAAAACTTACCTCATTTTCAACGGCCCGTAACGATATAAATATTTGGTATACCGCATTTGACATTGTAGGAAATACCGTCACCAATGTAAAAGAAACCTTCAATAAGTTAGAGAGAGAGAGAGGCAAAAAATACCGGTCTAAGGGTCAATGAAGAGAAAACCAAATATATGTGCATTAACAGACAAAAGAGACGAGATAGAATAGGACAAAATGTAACAATAGACCCCCATAACTTTGAAAGAGTGGAGAGTTTTAAATATCTCGGAGCGACTATCACCACAGGTAACGATATCACGGAAGAGATAAAAGGGAGAATTCAGGCAGCAAACAGATGTATGTATAGCCTCCACAACACTCCACAAAGCAATGGAAAGTAAACTCAGATGCTTTGAGAGAAAAATCCTCAGAAAGATCTTCGGTCCCTATCACGATCCGAATACTAACCAATACCGAATGAGAACAAATACCGAGGTCAAATAAATGTATAGTGCTAGCGACGTAGTCCAAGAGATTAAATCCCAACGTCTAAGATGGGCTGGCCATGTTCATAGGCTCCCTAATAACCGCCTTACCAAGTTAATCTGGGAAGAAGTCCCGACAGGGAGAAGGCCCTTAGGACGTCCACGAATGCGATGGAGAGATAATATATGGTCAGATTTGAGAACAATGGGGTTACCCACTGACTTAAACATCATGGACGACCGTTCGAGATGGTTCGATTTCCTAGGAATTTTTTCGGAAGAATCCGAGGTTTCTGTGTCACTGAGTATATAATCATCTGATGATCCAGAATTTGCATAAGGGTCATCCACTTCTACGTCTTCATCTGACATAAGCTCTTCGTATAAACTTACAAGTCGTTTCTGTTCTTTTTCGTAGGAATCCATCGAAAAAATTTGTGTAATCTAATATTGAATTGGTGATTATTGAAAGGAACTAACTCCACATAACTAAAGTGTTGGGAAATTAAAAAAAACTGTTTATAAACTACACTAGTAATTTTAGCAAAACGACGTTATGGTAGATTGAAAGCAATTATGCTGCAGTACTTTTAACAATAATCCCAGTAGGTTATTTGTTTTTAAACAAGTTTTATTTATAAAAAATTGCGTTGGAATTAGTTCCTTCTAAAACTAATTGCTTGTATGTAAAAATAAATGAAACAAATTATTAGTTTCAAGTCAGATTTATCAATACTAAATTATTATATTGTCATTATTTAAACTAATCGTTTTCTTCCATAGTAGTAGGCCATGTAAGGTAAGCTTCATAAAAGTGCTTAAATTCTTCATTGTCTTCGGGAATATAAACTAATAACTTTCTGACAGCGTCAACTTTATGTTTATTGATTGGCACTTTTCCCTCAGGGTAAGCAATACACAAAGCATCAAATAGGTTTAATGGCCTCGGTCTAATTCTTGGTTGTTTTAAATTAAATGTGTGCTTAAATAAGCCCCCTTTGATCATTTTATAAATACTGAACCCATGAACGAGGCTGGTGCAAAAGTTTGCTTTTGTTGACAGGGAACGTTTCTGCCATACGATTCCAGAGATAACACCGTTTTTTTGTACAACGCTGGCCACCATTTATTAAAGTCCTTGATATATTCCGTACGAATAACTTTTACTGTTATGTTTGATTTTGCGTTGGCGATTAACTCAACATACTCCATAGGATGATAAATGCGATCTGCTTTCTTTATACTTCTTTTAAATAGGCCCAATGTCCTATCGCAGTCTAGAAATGAATGGCCTCTTATGGGGAATCTGTGGATAATATTTCCAAATCTTTCTGTCTCAACTAGACCCAAGCAAAAACGGATGAAAGTATAATTTTTATTCTGACCAGGACGGGAGTCAGAAAACAAATACAACGTTTTAGCCGTTTCTGGTACACACTCTCTAATGTAGACCATGAGAAAGCTGCATACTTCGTTTGCGCCTTTTTTAGCTGTACCCTCGGAATATAGATACATGCGTGAGTTATCTTTCAAATTTGGGATACAAAAAGCATATACCCATATCTGTCTCATATAAAAGATTTCTTGCACTGGGATATGTGGCAATGGCAAGTTTCGCATAAAGTCAAATACAAGACCACACGTTGCTTCATCGAACTTGCAAAGTTCTCGAGTAGCTTTTAGTTGGTTATAAAATTTCTTACTTCGCCTTTTATGTACTTCAGCTTCTACGGTTAGCTTTACAGACTGAGATAAGTGGGCTTTCTTTAACTTTGTTTCCATTGCTTCACACGATGAACAAACATCAATTTGAGGCCGACCAAATCGCAGGTTAAAGTTTTCATTAAAATATTTTAAATAAAATTCACATTTGACCGTTGTCTTTAGATATTTTGATTTATGAGGTATGTACATTATTTTTACATTGAGTCTTGCATCCAAATATGTAATATGGCTTTGCCCATACTGGCTGCTTTTAGTAGGAAAAGATCCAATATGTTCATGAATTTGTTTGCATAATTCCGCAGAGACTGCATGAGATTTAATATTATAACCTCTTTTGTCTTTTGGAGTTATTCCTTGAGAAAGTAATGTTGCAATACGATAAACACGTTTTTGGCTAACAACGTGCAAATTCGTAAATGCTTTGAAGCATACTGCCACCCGATCATTATTTTGAATGCAAAAAAATTTAAAACTAGCATTGCGTTTCTCTACGTTCCCTCTTCTGCGTCTAATCGGGAAACATTCCATAAGCCGTTGTAAATGAAGGTCCTGTTCATTTTTGGAATTCAGATTGTGGAAGGTAGTTAATAAATCAATTTGTTGATAAATTGTAAACTTTTTGTAACAATCCATTTTACAGCTGAAAATAATAAGAATTACAACCACCGAAAACGACATAAAATGGTTGTATAGCCTTACCTGCATATAGGCGACACGATTGTCTTTTTTGGAACTATATTTCCTTTTGCAGTTTTATATGCTTCTCCTTTTAATTTATTCACCTTCCTGACATTAGACTTCCAGCTCTCTGGCTGGCGCATACGTTTTTTTCCATTTTGAACATTAGTTTCATCCTCAATATTCATCATTTCACAAAATAATACAGAATATATACACTTCGGTTAACAGCCTTTAGTAGGTTCCTTTCTTTACCAGTCGATCGGCAATACCGAAAAATAGCGCTTCACGTGTAAAAGTCAAAATTGTACATTTTTGGAGTTAGTTCCTTTTAATAATCACCGATTCTATTTTATAGTACACTCATACAAAACCTTTACGGTAAGAGCACCGAACAAAGAATGACTCAGAATATAACGTTAAATACTTCCGTCGCTTCATACACCAATGAACAACTTTGAGGCATCAGGTAAATGCCACTCTGTCCAGAAACACAAATTTATAGTTCTCGGAGAGCGAGGCATCAATGTGATGCCTCAAAAATGTTATGCAATAACTCGATTGTCAAATATTTTTTTTCTTAAATGAATCAGAAATGCGGAAAGGCATCCACGACTTCCGTCTTATTTACAAAAAATAAAATGCTGACCAATGGATAAGAAAAAAATTATAACACCGGGGCTAAACGTGTTAAATTTAAAAGTTAACGTGTCCCTGAGTTTTTTATTATTTTCTATAATAATGACACAAACAATTTTATTCCATAAGTGGTTTCCACACTGTATAATACTAATTATATTATTGTTTTACATAATATTGTTTTGTTAAAACTAATATTTAAATAATTCTTTAGGTAATATTTTAGATAACCAACTTTACAACTTTCAAATCTCCCCCGGTACATCGAGCACGACACCCACGTTTCAGTGACCGTAGCAACGCGCTATCCACCAACGCCATCTATCTACTCCGCTTTTATCTAAAATAGGACGCGTGCGCGACGCTAGGCGTCGAAAGCGCCAGCCCAGATGGACGCCAGTACTCTCGCAACTATGGACAAGGATGCTTTGAAGAAGCAGATCGAGAATATGAAATACCAGGCGGCAATGGAGCGGTGGCCACTGTCAAAATCTATTGCAGCGTAAGTTTTTACATTCTTATATTGTTAACATAAGTTGCTACACCGAATATTTCCTATTTTACGAGAAAAATTGGTAGTTTTGCTTAAAATCTCGATAGAAAACAAACTGGGGATGGCAATATGGCAAGCCCAAGCCCAGATGATGGTTTGTTTGAAGTATTTAGTAGTGTTAAGTCAATATTTGAGAATCTTGTTGTGGAACCTCTTTTATAAAGGACTTAAAATCAATATAAATAACTGTGTTGACAAATAGTCGAGATGCACCGGCAAAAATACAATTTTGACAACAAATCTGGTTTTAAAAATCAATATCGGGAAACCCGAAAGAAAAATCTGGTGTGTAAATCTTTTTTGACATAAAATCTTTTGTGTGGATCTTTTTTGATTTGTCCGGTTGAATTGTAAGAGTTGATGCTATTGATTTTTGCAAAAACAGTCACCGCACTTCTCAAGAACGAAAACAATGCTTCGTATGAGATTGTGGATATGAATCACTCGGAAACTTTACCTCGTTGTTTAGTTTAGAATGATGAATAGAAATCAGTTATCGCTTACATTTAATTGTTTGCAAAATAGATTTCCTAACAGAATCAAAAGCGAAGTTGTATTAATATTTTTAAATTTTCATGACAGATGACAAATGATCACTTAAAAGTAAATTTATGCATGGATTTTATTATTAAAAGTAATTTTTCTGTTTATTTGCTTGTAATGAAACTATTATCCATTATATTATATTATATTATGTAAACAGATGTGAACTAGACATTGTCTAGTCACATTTTGTGGTCAGTAACCACATTATAGTCACTGATAACTCGTCTTGGTATTGCACTTATTTTTTATATTGCCTTGGTAGGAAACATTAAGCTAAAAAATATTATTTTAACAAATATTACAAATTGCCTTTAGTAAACAATAAGTATGTTTAACTTATTTTGCTTATTTTCTAGAGATTGCTTTTTCACATAGATTTATTTTGCCTAGATGTGTAGTTTTGCCAAGAGGTTAGTTTTTATTTTGCCAGAGTTTGGCAATCGTTAAGGTCACTCTGACCTTTGAAGCAACTGCTCCAGTGAGTTGTGTTGCGCTGCTATCATACCATTATCTTATGTATGTTTTTCAGCTAAGCTGTTCCCTTTTCTGAATCATGAACTACCAAATCAAGTACTCTTCTTCAAGCATTATGTGTCCCAGATGGTGCAGTTTTTTCTTTTAACCTTTGAACTTCTTATTCCTTCATCATTTTTGTTAATATTTTTATCGTGATCATCCTTTGATTTATAATTGTATTGAATTTTAAACATAAATAGGTTAAAAGCATTTATAATTTTTATTTCAGAATTGTTTGAAAACGATTTGAGGATTGGAAAACGAAACGTCAGATCAAATATAAAATGTAATTTTCATTAAAGACAATTGTGATTTAATTCCAACTATCTTACTACACACTAAGAAGGACGAGAAGAAACAGCGTATCTAATAGTCCAATTAAGTTAGTTTTTTACTCAACAAAACTGTATAGACGGGTTTGACAGTTGAAATGATGAAACTCTCATCTACTTACTTACTTACTTATTCCGTGGCGTTACAACCCTTCGTGGGTTTTAGCTGACTCGACAACATGCCTCCACTCTTTTCTGTCTTGACCCTCAAGTCTTGACTGTCAACCTCCAACCAATTCTCCACGCCCATAGTGCTTAGGTCTCCAGCTATATTATCTGGCTACCGGAGACGAGGGCGTCTGTGTGGTCTCCTTCCAGTTGGGACTTCCTCCCACACCAGTCTTACTGTTCGTTCGTCAGAATGTCTTCTGAGGTGTCTTTGAAGTCTTCTGGACTTTATTTCTTTTATGATGTTGCGTCTGGGTAAAGTTCTTCGAGATCTTTGTTAGTTCTTATCCTATATTGTCCTGATGCTTCATCCAGCACAGAACCAAAGATTTTCCTTAGGATTTTTCTTTCCCAAACACATAGTCTTTCTTCGTTTGTCTTTGTTATCGTCCACGTTTTTGAAGGGCAAAAAGACATCTGTTGCCGGCCTGAATCCTGTTGTTTATTTCTTGCGATCCGTTATTATCTTCAGTTATTGTTGTGGTGAGAGTGCATCTCACTGTTTTTAAAACAGGGAGATGCACTCTCTCACATTTTGTTTAAAATCTATGAACATCTGATGAAGCTCACGATCAAATTCCCAGCATTTTTCCATTATCTATTTTATTGTGAATATCTGGTCAATAGTAGAGCGGCCCGGTCTGAATCCGCATTGATAATCTCCAACGATTTCTTCTGTGTATGTTTTGGTTCTTTCTAGCAGGATATTTGCAAGGATTTTGTAGGTGGTGTTTAGAAGTGTTATTCCCTGGTAGTTAATACATTGCTTTTTGTTTCCTTTTTTGTATATTGGTACAATAATCCCTTCTTTCCATTCATCTGGCATTGTTTCTTTTCGCCAAATGTCTTGAATTATCTTGTATATAGAACTGTACTGGTCTTCTATTTCAGCTGTATGTACCTCCAGCTGTTTGATGTATTTCTGCTAGATTGGTCGTTTAATAGTTGATAGAAGTATATCTTCCAGGTTTTTAGGATTTCCTTGTCATCATTGATAAGCTACCCGCTGTTGTTTTGAAGGAAGTTTCCTGTTCTTGCTTGGTGCCTGGTCTTGATATCTGAAACTCCTTTGAAGAACTGTCTCGCTTGTTTGTTCTTTCTTTTTTCTTCCATATCTCTGATTATTTGTTCCTGATACTCCCTCTTCTTCCTTTTCATTAGTTTTCTTGTTTCTGTTCTTCTCTGTCTATACATTTCATTGTTGTTGTGCGAGGGTTTTGTAGCATGTTCCTTCTAGCCATATTTCTTGCTGTTATGAAGTTGAGGCAATCATCATCGAACTATTTTTTTGTTGTTTTCTTTTTGTGTCCTAGTATTTCATCTGATATGCTTGTCAGAGCTAATTTGATATTTTTCCAAGCTGAGTCTATGTTGTTATGGTTTTCTGTCTGTGTTAGAGTGATTTTTATAGCCTTTTGAAATTTCTGTTCTGTCTCCTTATTACGTAGAACTTCGGTATTCCATATTGAATACATTCCATGTATTCAATATGGTCATGATAATTGTGTTGGTGTATTCTTGTGTGTTTTTTTTTGACGCTATTCTTGTCCTTATCTTCGCTTTTACCAGAAAATGATCCGTGTCTCCATCAGCTCCTCTTAGGCTTCTTACGTCTAGACAGTTACTATCCCTCCTGGCATCTACTAGAACATGATCGATCTGATTTCTTGCTCATATCTGAGTTCCCTAGAACTCTCATCTTTAGTGGAATTATTTTTAAATAATCAATTATTTGTAATATCTTACACATTTTAACTGTCACAAACGTCTATACAGTGGTGTCTAAAAAGGTTTATTTTTTAGCAACTTGTTTGCTCTATAATAACTAGTAAGTATATTTATATGGGATTAAGCGACAATTGATTTTAATGAAAATGACATTTTTAACTGATGTTTTTATACCTGGATAATGTGGAAATACGTAGGTTATGTTTTTTCAAAATTGATGGTTGATTTATTTGGCCTTGATCTTGAATGGCAATAGCATGCTTACGGTTTAGTAAAAGGGGTAAGGAGTGCTCAACTTTTTTGTATATATTTTGGGGTCCCAAAATTGACATTCTCGTCAAAATTCAGCTTGTTCGTATGATTTTTATAGGTCCAGTGACATTTTTTGGAGATATAATGTCGCTAAATTTTTCTTTGTTTTATTCATGGTTTACTCTGATGTTGTTCTATGATTTACATTACTGCTAGATTATAGTAGCAATTAAAAATCGTTGTATTTATTACGTGTTTAAACAAAAGAGCAAAATAATTTAGAATCATTAGTTCATTCTTATTAATCATGTATATTTTGATAAGATGTAAGTTTCTGGTTATAACAATAGTGGGAACCATTTTTTTTAACACAAATGGTTAAAATGTATATGATGTTTTAATAAGATTATATGCAAATTTTGGCCATTGTTTTGCTTAGTTTATTTTGTCGTAATAAAATATCAAAATGTGTGTTTACTTCGTGAGATCTCAAAGGTTTCTTGTTCTTCTATTTAATTTAGGGCAGTGTATAACATTGGTTTCGCATACCTTGTCAGGTTATAAAATGATTCCCGTATTTGCAAATTTACCTACACAAAAATGAAAAAGCCAACTTTCAGTAAGAACAAACCCCATGAATGCACTACTGTTTTGAATTCGGTATAAAAGTATCGATTTAAATGGTCCAATGTGCTGAATTGTATGTACCGGGTGGTCCAATAAGCCGATCTCTGGGCTACATATCAAAAACTATTCATGTTATAACTTTAGGAGAAAAAATTCCTTAGTAAAAGTGGCCAAGAGAAATCGCTGGAAATAACTTTCAAGTTTATGAGTTAACCGCTAGGGGGCGTAACATGTGAAGAAAATTTTGAAAACCAGTTTTTTTGTGAAATATGCTCAAATATACCAAGTGTTAGTTAAATAAACTAGAAAGAGGCGTAAATTCTGCACAAACTTGTTCAAGTACTTTTTTTTATTTTTTCAAATAAAGGGTGGGGGAGAGTGAGAAAGTATTTGTGGATAAATACCTATAACTTTGGTTTGAATTAACCGATTTTAACGAAATTAGTATCATTAGAAAGAGTGTGGATGAATTAATTTACATCTACTATAAAATCATTGTATTTAGTTTTAATTGTCATAGGTAGAGGGTACTTTCGAATAGAAAAAATTAAAATTTGTTTTACTTCAAAATATTAAACGGAAACACCCTATTTATTGTCAATTATAATGAAATTGGATTAAATTCGTAACACAATGGCTCAAACCGCATGTTAATAGCTTTTGTCGAAATCGAGATATGAATAAAAACGCATAATAAGTAAGTATAGTATTGACTTACCCTCTATTATAAATTAAATTAAAAAATAAGTCAGTATGTACTTTCAAATTTTTTTATAGCGG